CCAGCTTCGCTGCATGACGAATGAATCGCAACAACTCCCACCAACGCTCTGGGCTTCATGTCGCCCGATTGCGAGCCGTATTCACTCCTGCAACCATTCATGCCGATACTAACTGCTCCTTGACTGCTCAGCCACACGGAGTTTTTTCGATAGTTTGTTCTTCTCCCAATATCATTCTTTCCTTTCTTTGGTTATTGAATTCCGAGCCCGCCTCCAGCGGTACTCCTCTTTCGGGGGCGGACGACGAGAAAGTGCTGCTGAGGTTGCAAAGCCGACTTGGAATCCGATCAAGCGGCCAGACAGTAAGTCAGTCGGTCGGTCTGTCTCTCCGCAGTTGCTCAAACGGAATTCGACTCAAAGATTGTCGGCGAAACGAGCGAATCCACCGTCGAACGAATGAGTGAACGAATTATTCAGCTCTCCCGCCTAGTGACTCGTAATCGAGTTAGAATTGTCAGACTCGGCCGACGGGATTTCGCAGAGTCGGGCCGCCGAGTTTGTTCCCGGCTAGCGTTAATGAAGAAAGCTATCTTTCGTAGAATTAGCCTAATCCCGAAGCTCTATCTTTCGCAATGTGGACGCCTTGCGTTGTCCTCTTCCCTCGCCCAGATTCGTCCTGAGCTCGCCTCGTCGGCCTAGCCGACAGTCCGGCTGTCGGCATGAGTGCTTTGCGAGGTTTTCGAGAGCCTACGGAAGGCGTTGACCGAAAAAGCGCTTCCGACTACACGCCGCAATTTCAAGGTCCGCCTTCGGCCTTTACCCGCATCGTGGCGCGCCGTCCCGCTCCGATATCCCGGCGAGCTCATCACTCGGCATTCGTAGACTACTTAACACGATAATGCGACACCCTTTCCTCCTCGTATTCCTCCTATGACTCTCATTCGGATTCGGTGCCGCCCCCACGCCCCTCCTCTCTCTCCCCACTAGCCCTTGCTTAATCAACTTAGTAGTTTCCACACCAACGCTGTCGAGCCTCTCCATTGCCGCGACGTCGGTCGTTGACGACTGCAGAGAGACAATGGAACAGCGGACGAGAAGGACGAAGACTTGTACGCTTCCTTTTCCTCCGGACTACCGTCCCGGCCTCCCACGTCTGTCGTTATGGTCGGACTTCGACTACCCGACAGCGAACGTCAACATTCGGCGAGATGGCCTAGCGAAGCTGCAACCATAACGACATCCACAACCTCACAAAGAACGAAAGGATTTCGTGAAACGAGTGTCAGCTCGAACAGATTCCCTCGCTGCTCATATGACTAATCCGACATTCGGGGTAACGAGCGAGTTTCTCTTTGTAGAACTCCGCACACATGTTCCTCGACTCTCCCGTTGGCCGATCCCGCGACTGCCTTGGCGGCGAGATCTCGCGCAGCTCACATCTCTATTTTCGGTCACTTGTCTTTTGACGCCTCGCTGAGTGAGACGTGCCGCTGAATGGCTGATCTGTACCGCTTGTTCGAAACGAACGCAAAACCTCCCTCCAACGAATCCACTCCCCTACTCACCCAGCCTACGTATGTACCGTGGATCGGCAGCTCCGCCGACCTGAGCGAAATTGCTCAGAGCCTTTTTGAGGGTCGCGTCCGAAAATCTATAAAAACGGCAGCACTCGTGATCTACGTCCGTTCATCGGGCGCTGTCCATTGTCTCAGAGGTCATTGCTACTCGCGGTGGTTCCGGGCGGCGCTTCGACTCTGTGCTCCTCTCTCTAGAACTCTATACAATTGGCTCCGCCATCCAATATTCGAGACACGAGTCGGACTTGAAAGGACTTCCTGAGCCTTGTTTCGCAAGCCCTCATTCACTTCAAAAGAGCTCCGCGACAATGGCTCATTCAAGGGATTATCTATCGTCGCGAGCCCGTAAAGCGATACCACCAGGCTCGCATCGTCCGAGGGACAAGACGTCCTTCGGATGTCCCTACACGCACCGTACGGTATTATTCGCCTCGAGCTCCCGCTGATTTACTTTCACGCACCCGATGATCGAGGTTATGCTCGGGAGAAAAACGGGAAGCCATCGACAGATAATCCCCGGGGGGATCCGCGTCGAAAATTCTCATCGAGCAGGGTGAGTGTCCGGAATTGGGCCCGCAAAGTCGTCGCACGAAATAAACCGCGAACTTCTCTTCGGCAGGAAAATGACGGCGGCGCGGCGGTCAGCTCCTTTGTTCGAGTCTTGGGGCTGCGGACGTCTTTGTTGGGTATGTGGGAACACTACCGTCTGATTGCCCTTGTCCGCCGGCCCTCTCTGGGGTTTTTCCTCGCAGGACTTCCCCCTACACGGGGATCATGGGAATCCCAGGCATTGGAAGTCGCGACTTTATCTAAATATGTGTCTGCAATAAATACACGCGCACAGCCTCAGCCTGGCATTGTTGTACCAGCCTGTGATGAATCGGGTATTCGGTACAATCGGGCTACCGGCCGGACAATGATTTCCAGCCGCAAAGCATAAGGTCAGCGCGGTGAATGACTCCTCGATTTGAATTCCCGCGCATCTCGGTGGCTGTGCAAGAGAACCGAATGACGCACGAGGTTCGAAACGGTCGGACAACGGGAGACGCACAAAGCACGTCAGCTCCGAGTCCGGAAAAAACGGCAGACCTGTGAGCGGCGGGCGAGCGGGCGTGCGAGTGGACAAACGGACGGCGTGCGGACAACAGGAGCGAGGATGACACGCCTATGAACTGCAGCGCTGATGACAACATGCAAACACGGATGCGACCTTCACTGAATCTCATACATAAACACAGACAGAAGCAGATTAGCATCTAACGCTAGTACACAGGCTTAAAGACGGTTAATAAAAAAGCAGAGGACAGTGAGGGGGCTCGTCGTGAGAGACACCTCATCTTCCAAATCCTTTCCAGTTGCCGAGAGCTTGGCGAACCGGGTCTGGTGACGTAATCGCGGGTAGATGCATCGACTTACGTCATATTATACCACGACGAATCTAAATGACAGAATGGTCAAGCTGTAAACCTCCGGCCAAGCGTGCTCCGGCTCCGAAGCGATAAGCGTCTGTGGGTGACGCACTGCGGTGATTCGGAGCCAGGACTCGCATAGGGTTTTGCGCTAACGCTGGACGTTTACCTCGGTGACGATGTATTTTTTCCAGGGGAAAGGGATAGTTCGGATCCACGCCTAAACCTACGTCTCGTCCGTCGGAGGATGAACCCGTTGAACTTCCCCCCCCCCCCCCCACTCCATCGGGGAACTCATCGATGAGCCGCATTGAGGCACCTGGATAGTTCCCATTCAAAGCCGCGGCGCCGTCTTGCGAGCTCCCCGCGGAAATATTCGCAAATGACCGGGTCAACGCGTCCATCTAGCCCCGTATCTCACGGTTCTCAATCGTCGGACCAGGAGAAAGTTCATCAGAGACGTTCCAAACGCCGCCGGCGGCCCACCGTCCGACCGGGCAGGACGTCGCTGCATTGTCAGATAACTCGTGGATTGCTGACTGGTTCGTGGCGTTGACGTTCAATAAGCCATGGGTTTCACTCCACCCCTGACCATTGCTACACCTAGCTCCTGATGGCAGCCACTCGTCCAGACTCGACGGCCCTGTTCCGGGCGAGAGAGGCGGATTTTCGTTGCGGCTTCGCCCGCGGTCGTTGTCGTCGATATTTCTGCTGCAGGTGGAAAATAGAGGGAGAAATACGTATTTTTCACAATTTCCACCTTCTTCCTCGGTAGGCAGTCGGTGGAGCGTTTGACAAATGGCCATTACTGCGACCCACTTCGTTTCCCACCGCAAGGCTACCTCGCAGCTCCCAGTTTCAGAAAAACGAACATTCGACGTCCCAGTCACCCCTTCGGTGCTATTGTAGTCTGATTCGACATTTTCCTCGAACAACAAAGCCAGCCCCAGAATAGACCCGACGGTCGCTCGGTCGGTCGATGGATTTTTAGTGAGCATCTGCTAGAGCCGAACCTCAGCCGACCGCGTTCATGAGATGGATTTGCCGCGCGCATCGACTCCTGAGCCACCACGGGACTGTTGCATGCAATTAGGGGACCTGGTTATAGTCGCGAACTGAACTCGGGCCCTAGGCAACACGTCAGGATTTCCGAGCTTCGGCTCGTTGAACGTTTGAGGTCGCGAAGCGCCAAAGATACTGGGGCTCTGGATACGAGCTGCTCGTTCCGCTACCTCTGTTTTTCCTTCTGTTTTTCTCTGTTCGCGCGCCTCTAGATGGCTGCGCCGCGACGTCGCAGTGGTGACGTCACGCGAGACCGACAGTACCTGACGCGGTTACCGGGGGACCCGAAGTTACAGATATTTATTAGTCATTGGCATAGTATTCCCAGGACATAAATAACGCACACTAGATTCCCAGATCACTACGCTGCTGAATCACGGATACATCCCGTCTTTCGGAGGGAAACCCCGAGGGCGCCCTCAGACGGTAGCTCTCGTAATCTCATCTCTGCGCGCTTCCAATATCTCGTCTGGAGCGCATGTGACACTCCCACCAACGCCAATCTACTGATTGGGGTTTAAACACCGAACAGAAAGTTTTCTTCTCCTGAAACATCATTCAGTAATAATTTTTCCTAGGAATTTAGCTTCTGCTCGGAGAGTCTCGTACATTTGACTGTGGTTCCCGAGTCGTCGCATTTACCTACGTGGCATGCAGTGGTTCTCTCGGAATAAATTCTATTCTCCTGAACTCTTCAATCTCGACCCGAGTAAAGCACACTTCCCCGAGATGTACCCGGTACCCCAGACTTCACTTTCGCCGAGCCCCGAGATCAGAATCTCCGGAACACGCTTGTGTCCCTTTCCCGTGAGAGAGATCGACCTTCCCCCCGGAAACTTCTACTGTACTGAATCAGTACTGCGAATTTTCGAATCAACACCTTTTCCTCTTTTTAGTCGCTTCGAAATACATTTTTTTTTCTTTTCAATTGCATGAGCAAACGGGAGATCCTCCAGGAGACCCTTTTTAAATGAATTTGTATGTATCCATTGAGTTCGACTCAGACTGTTTTCTATAGAACATTGCTGGCTTCTTCAGCTTGGCCAATTCCCAATGGATATATTGAGTGGATTGGGCGCTTGAGAATCTTCCTGTCTCCTCTCATGACCATGCATGATCGTTTTCTGAGATCTGTTCTCTCGCCACCGAACACGTTGACTACTCTGCAGAGCGGCCAGAACCCACGCGACGGACTCGGGTCTGCCATCAGGCACACGTCGCCCACATTGAGCTCATTCGGAGATGTTGGTTTGGTTTCAACTGCGTTCCTCAACTGACCCAAGTACTCGAGTCGGAATCTTTTCCAGAACGCCTTCATGACGGCCTCTTGGCGTTTCCACGCTTTCGACATAATTATCGGCATGTCCCGGTCGCTGACTTTCAAGTTGACCATCGAAGTATCTGGGAACCTGGCTCTTGCGTTGTATCCATTCACCAGATCCGCTGGGCACAGTGCTCTGACCTCACACTCACTGGATGGAAGCGCTGTTATTGGTCTCAGATTGACGCACAGCTCGATTTCCGACAGGATTGATTCCAACTCCCGAAATCTTGGTATATTCGTTCCTAAGATTTTCCGGAGTGGACGCTTTATGCAGCCCACCAAGCGCTCCCTCAGAATGAGGTATTCCGCACGGATATGATGAAGATTGGTGGTGATTCCTGGTGAGTGGAGACATTTTGATTTGTGAATCCACGCTATGAGCAACTTCGTGAAATAGTTCCGCCCATCGAGGATTATCGGATATTTTTCACCGAACGACAGATCACCGGACTTGATCAATCCTGACTTACAACGTAGGATTCCATGTTCATCGACCATCGGATTGTAGAGATAAAGCTTGCTCGTTTTCGGTAGCTTTCTCCCTCCACTGGCGACTTCTGTCGGGAAATCCATTTGCTGTAGATCCCTTATAAGTGCTCTCTCTGCGTCAAGATATTCCTCGACCTGAACGGGAATGTCCATAGACAAATCCCTCTTGCGAGCTTTCTGGAAAACCCTCCTGACGTAAGCCAGCGATCTCACCGCTTTCGGCCACGATGAAAAGTGCTTCTCCTTGAGCAGAGACGACGACACCTTTGGCAAAGCCGTGACATGCAGGATGTCTGTTTCTGCGACGTTGCCATGCTTTGCCTCTGCTATTGCCTCCGCGAATTCTTCTTTGCCAATGCGGATCGGGTCCGGCAACTTTTGCTCTTTTAGCCACGAAGGTCCATTCAACCAGAACTCGACACTTTCCCTCGACTCCAGTGAGTTGCCTCTGCTGAGCAAATCAGCCGGGTTGGACTTCGTGGCCACATAGCGCCACTGATCCGGCGTTGAGAACCTCTGGATCTCGGTGATCCTGTTGGCGACGAAAGTTCGCCATTCCGATGGCCTGTCCCTCGTCCAACCGACCACAGCACTATTATCCACCCAGTAAACCGTCCTTTTGACTGTGTTTCCGAGTGCCGGTCTGAGCTTCTCAACCAGGCGACAGCTGACTAGAGCTGCCATCAGCTCCAAACGATGGATATTCCAATTGGCCTTGTTCGGCGCAACCTTCGCTTTCGCCATGAGGAACTTGATTTCCGGATCGCCGTCCTGGAAGAACTCCTTGAGATATATGACCGCCCCGTAAGCGACTTTCGACGCATCAGAGAACGCGTGGATTTCTGTCCGCCTGGGGAGTCTGTCGATCCTCGCGTTTGTTCGGCTAACGAGGATTCGATCCGCAGACTTGAGCTGCGGAACGAACTCTCCGTAGAGCTCACGATGTTTTGCGTTGAGACGATCGTCCCATTGAACTTTGTCCTGCCACATCATTTGAAACAGCACTCTGGCATGTATCGAAATCGGACAGATTATTCCGAGAGGATCGTAGATTTGAGCCAACCCTGAGAGCAGCGAACGCTTGCTCGGTTTCGCATCGTTGAAACATCTGTTGGCGTTGGTTACGAAAACACCAAGTGCGTCCGTAACCTGACACCAGCGTATCCCCAGGAATCGAAAGTCTGGTTCGGCGCTCCGAATCGACACTGTCTCATCGGAGAACGCTTGCCTCATTCCTTCCGCCACTTCTTCCGAATTGGTAGCCCATTTCTTCAGCGGGAAGTGCCCGCTTCGGAAAATTTCGACGCATCGTTGTATCTTTGTTAATGCTGTCTCTTGGTTAACACTACCGAAACTCAAATCATCCATGTAACATGAGAACTGCAGCTCATTGATGAACTCAGTCTCAGACGGCCGACGAGTCTTCTCGCCATCCAGATGGAATTTGAGGCCTGCTTGGTATAACCATGGGCTAGCGGAAGTCCCGAAATCCAATCTTTTCGACCAGAACTCCTTGATAGGAGCTCCGGCGTTTCTTGAGACTCCGGGCCGATAGTAGTATCTGAGGAACGTTCGGTGTGATCGATCGATTTCAAACTGATGATATGCTTTCTCCACATCCGCCACGACGGCAATGGGAGACTCTCGAAATTTCGTGAGCACGAGGAGAATGTTCTGGAGTAGGTTGTATCCTGTTATCAGAACGTCGTTTAATGAAGCCAGATCCTTCGAACGACAACCTGCATCCTTGACAATCCTCAACTTGAAGCCCCTAGGTGACCCTTGGTCGGGTTTCTTGACCACCTGGAGTGGTAGATAATGCACGAATTCTCCCGGCTTCCGTTTCGGAGCCAGCTCGGCATAGCCCTCCTTGATGTATTTCTCCATCTCTTCGTCGATCGCCTCGAGAACTTCTTTGGAACTCCGCGAAATGAGCGAGTTCAATCTGTTGATAGCAATCTTTTCATTGTCGCCTAGCGACTGGAGATTTTCGTTGAAGATGAGCTTAAGTCGATATCTCCCATCTTTGTTCCTCGAGATGTTTGCCTTGAACAACTCATCCAGGCGTTGCATCTCTGCTGCAGTTTCGTTTTCTGCTGGCGGTTCGACCCCAAGTAGCTCAGTCTCGAACAAGAACTCAATGTCTCGTTCTGTTTTCGAGTTTTCCCGAGCCTCGGTGGTGGATTTCAGTGACTGTTGTTGCTGTTGAGTTGACGCCGACGACTGGAGTGCACACACGACGTTGGTGAACGGACTGAGCGGCGCCTTTCTTCCGAAGGTGAACCACCCGAGTCTTGTTTTCAGTGCCATCAGCCGTCCCTCCGACCGCGACTCGTTGAGCCATATTTGACCCAGGTCATCTGTGCCGAGGAGGATGTCAATCTCCTTGAATTCGGGATCCTCAACGAGATCTGCGAATTCGCTGATTCCGCCCAGCCGCTCAGCTGGAGGGAAGATTGAGTCCGTGATCACTGGAATGCCAAGGCATTCGACGGGAATGGATTCTTGAGGAGCAAATCTGCTCGTGAGATTGATCCTATAACACAGATATTCCCTAACTTCTGACGCTCGTCCACCGAGCGTGTGATTGATGAGTTGCTCCCTATTGACCACTGTAGCTTTGAGAGCTTTCGCTAAGCGGTTCGTTACGTTACGACCTTTGACTTCCGCTGTCTATCATTAATCTACGCAGACGGAATCCCTTCTCCGTGACGACATTGGCGTAGCCAGTAGCGAGGTTGGAACTTTTTGAAATCCGGTGCGTCACATTGGCGATACCTTCTGGTTCGGGAGCGACCGTTCCGGTTGCCAATACGGTGACATTCATCATCGTTGACGTCTGACCATCGTTCGAACTACACTCTTTTACGCAGAGCAACGAATGGTGCGCACCGCTGCAGTGCTTGCACTTAGTCTTTATCCTGCATTTTGCAGCTGTGTGATTCCTCCGGAGGCACTTCGCGCACGCGTTTGCATTCCGCACGGTGTCTGCCCTCTCGTAGTTAGTCAAGACTTTCTTACACTTGGCAGACGAGTGATTATTTAGATTACAGAAGATGCATGAGTGATCTCCTGCGGACTGTATCCCAAAGAACGCGTGATTATCCCCGGCTTCTTTTCTGCTGAAGTTCCCCGGCTTGCTCTTGGCACTGAATTTATCGCGCGGAAAATTAGAATCCGAGCTTGTCCTAGCGATAGAAGGAGCTAACCTGATCCTACTCTCTTTGCTGAGAAACTTGAGGAGAGCTTCCAACTGTTTAACCGCCTCGTCGGTCTCCGACACCTCGTGAACTCGGAGAAACGAATCCCTGACTGAGCTCGGTAGGTTATCCAAGACCATTGGCAAAATCATGATCGCGGCCCCAGCGAAACCACCCTCGAGAGAAGATTGAAGAGCTTTGATGCTTTGTGATAGAGACGGAACCACTACGTGCCACTTATCTGGGATCCTGAAGTTCTTCGTTGAGCAGGTCTTGATGATATCAGCGGCGTACGCGTACTGTGCCGAAAACACACTTCCGTATTCTTCCTTGATGATTGACAGCGCTGTGTCGTAGAGTTCCTCCTTCAGTTGTAGATGAGCGATGGCCTTCAACGCGTTCCCGGACAGACAACTTTTCAGTTTCTCGAACTTATCAAGTTTGTTGACACGATCACTGACGGCTGACTCGAA